TATTAGGGAATGAAAAGTAAAATATGGTAGATGAACATTATGGAATTCTACATTAGACACAACTATATGTATGTAAAACAAAACAGAAAGATCCCCAAATCAATTTGAGTAAAAAAGTGAGAAGCAGGACCAGATCTGTAAAACACAATAAATAAACAATACATACCCACTACTACATATTTTACAGTTATTCTTATATGCTCAAGGAATGTATCAACCACAATGCTACAGGAAGGGGTAATAGAAGCAGGGCTCAGAAATTTAAGAAAAAGGACCCTGTAGGATACATATTCAAGTCCTGCAGTCAGCGCTGTGGAACCCTGTATGCAAAAAATTGGACCTTTGTATACACAGGTTTTGCATTCCACAAATAATGTGTACTGTATTTTTGATCCATGTGTAAATGGACCCATGTAGTTCAAACCTGTGTTGTTAAAGGCTCAACTGCAATTTAAAAGTGCAAGTACACTGAATGGATGATAGAAATTGTTAGTTTGAGTGTTGAAAGCATTTGTGAGTTCTTGGATACCACAATTTAACAAAAGAAAACCAAGAGTTGTTGGCATTTCTTGTTCTTCCAATTTCTACCTATTCCTTTTGAAGGATGACTGCTCTAATAAAGTGGGATTTACTGCTATTCCTCATCAGTCACACTTTCTGACTTCTGTGCCTTTATTTTGTACTCCTGTCTCTGTTTTGTGAGTTTTTGTCTTTCAACCTCAACTACTGAAATCTTGTCTATTCTTCACAACCTAGCTGAAACATCATCATCTCTATGTAGCCATCCCTGATCACCTTAGAAGAGATTTTTTCTTGAATATTTAGAGTCATTTATAGCCATTTCTTTATTACACAGATATCGTTTGAGTTATGTAAGGACTAGATAGTGGGAAGTATGCTTTTACATGTTACTATTCTTCACTTCTCGAGGTATCATTGTTTCCATTGTGCAGATGAGGAAACAAAGACTCACAGAAGTCTAATATCTTCCATGCATCACTATGCTGAGAAGCAAATTTGAACACAGGGCTTTAAGGCCAGGCTTCATTTTTGAACTTGCATCTTACAACATTTTGACAAAAAAAAAAAAAAAAGCAAGTGAATAGTTAATTTTTAGGTAAACATTTCTTTCCTTTTGGATTTTCAAAAAAATTTTTTGAAATGTTTACAACACTTTAGAAAGTGTTAAAAACTGATTCAATAAGGAATAGACAATCTGAATAGACCTATAACATGTGAAGACATTGGATTAGTAGTCACAAAACTACCCACAGAGAAAAGCTTAGGCCCATGTGGCTTCACTGCTGAATTCTACCAAACATTTAAAGAATTTATACTAATTCTTCACAAAGTCTTCCAAAAAATAGAGGGAATACTTCCCAGTGCATTTTATGAAGCCAGTATTACTCTAATAACAAAGCCAAAGAAATCACAAGCAAACTATAGGTCAATATCTCTTATAAATATGAACATAAAAATTCTTAACAGAATACTAAACTGGCTGACTGAATTCAACTGTGTTTAAAAAGATTTATACATCATGACAAGGTAAGATTTCTCCCAGCAATGCAGGAGTGGCTTAAAGTCCAAAAAACAATTAATGTAGTATGTTAGCAAAATAAAAAACAAAAATTGATCTGGGAGCAGCTATTCAGGAGGCTGAGGCAGGAGGATCACTTGATCCCAGAAGTTTGAGGCTGTAGTGCTTGATGACTGCCTGTGAATAGCAAAGTCCAGTCTGGGCAATGAAGTGAGACTCTGTCTCTCAAAAAAATGTCATATAAATATACACAGAAAAAGCATTTGACTAAATTCAGCACCCTTTTATGATAAAATACTCAACAATTAGGAATAGGAGGGAACACTCAACATGATAAAGGGCATTCATGAAAAATCCAAAGGTAACATCATACTTAATTGTAAAAGGCAGGTTGCTTTCCCACTAAGATCTGGAATAAGACAAGGATGTCTGGTCTCTCCACTTTTATTCAACATCGTATTTGAGGCTCTAGTCAAGGAAGTTAGGCAAGAAAAAGAAATATAAAGGCATTAAGATTGAAAGGAAGTGGTAAAGCTATCTCTTTTTGCAGATGATGTGATGTATATCAACTAGAAAAGTAGCTGCACTGGTAAGTTTAGCAAGATTGTAAGATATCAATACACAAAAATTAATTGAATTTCTCTAGATTTGTGATCAACAATCTGAAAATGAAATTAAGAAAACAATTCCATTACAAAGGCATAAAAATAAAATACTTAGGAATAAATTTAACAAAAGAAGTGTAAAACTTATACTCAGAACACTACAAAGCATTTTTCAAAAAAAAAAAAAAAAAAGATCTAAATAGAAAAACATCCCATCTTAATTGAAAGATTTGACATTGTTAAGGTGGGAATACTCCCCAAACTGCTACTCAGGTTCAGCATAATTCCTATCAGAATCCTAGCTGACTTTTTTTTTTTTTTGAGACAGAGTCTCACTCTGTTGCCCAGGCTAGAGTGCCATGGTGTCAGCCTAGCTCACAGCAACCTCAAACTCCTGGGCTCAAGCAATCCTTCTGCCTCAGCCTCCCAAGTGGCTGGGACTATAGGCATGTGCCACCATGCCCGGCTAATTTTTTCTAAAAATATTTTTAGTTGTCCAGCTAATTTCTTTCTATATTTAATAGAGACAGGGTCTCACTCTTGCTCAGGCTGATCTCAAACTCCTGAACTCAAACGATCCACCCGCCTCGGCCTCCCAGAGTGCTAGAATTACAAGGCGTGAGCCACCGCACCTGGCCCCAGCTGACTTTGTAGAAATTGATAGACTAATCCTAAAATTTATAAGGAATTGCAGGGGATCCATAATAGCCAAAACAATCTTGAAAAAAAAAACAAAAAAATTTAGAAGACTCACACACTGATTTCAAAATGTTACAAAGCAGTGGTAATCAAGACTGGAATTGGCACATATAGATTAATGGAATCAAACTGAGAGTCAAGAAATTAAACCATGTACAAATGCTCAACTAATTATCAACAAGGGTGCTGTTATAGTTGTTTGGGCTGCTATAATACACCATAGACTGAGTGACTTATAAACAACAGAAATTTATTTCTCACAGTTCTGGAGGCTGGAAGTTCAAAATCAAGATAACTGGCAGATTCAGAGTCTGGTGAGAGGCTCCTTCTTTTCAACTATCTTTCCCCTGTGTGTTTACATAGCCAAAGGGGCAGGTGAGCTCTATGGAGTCTCTTTTTTTTTTTTTTTTTTTTTTTTTGAGACAGAGTCTCACTTTGTTGCCCAGTCTAGAGTGCCGTGGTGTCAGCCTAGCTCACAGCAACCTCAAACTCCTGGGCTCAAGCGATCCTGCTGCCTCAGCCTCCCAAGTAGCTGGGACTACAGGCATGTGCCACCATGCCCGGCTAATTTTTTTCTATATGTATTAGTTGGCCAGTTCATTTCTTTCTATTTATAGTAGAGACAGGGTCTCGCTCTTGCTCAGGCTGGTTTCGAACTCCTGACCTCGAGCAATCCGCCCACCTCGGCCTCCCAGAGTTGCTAGGATTACAGGCATGAGCCACCACGCCCAGCCTATGGAGTCTCTTTTATAAGGGCTCTAATCCCATTCATGAGGACCCTACCACCAGGACCTAATTATCTCCCAAAGGTTTTGCCTTCAGACACCTTTACATTGGTACTTAGGATTTAACTTGTGAATTTTGGGAGAGACACACATTGTCTATAGCAGGTGCCAAGATCATTCAGTGAAGGAGGAGTCTTTTCAAAAAATAGTGTTATAAGACAGCTTGATAGCTGTGTGTAAAAGAATGAAGTTGGACTCTCTTACCTCATGTCGTGTACAAAAATTAACTCAAAATGAATCACAGACCTTAATGTAAGGTAAAACCATATAGAACTCTGGGAAGGAAATACAGGGTTAAGGATTATTGGATATGACACCAAAAACATGAACAAGAAAAGAAAAAACATTAATTTGAACTTCATCAAATTAAAATTTTTGTAAGCTTCAAAGGATACCATCAAGAAAGTGAAAAGACAACCTATAGAACATATTTATTTGCAAAGCATATCTGATAAGGGACTTTTATCTAGAATGTATACAGAAATCTTACAACTCTATTATAAAAGGACAAATAACCCAATTTTAAAATGGGCAAAGGATTCGAATAAACTGTTTTGATGGAAGATATAATTACCAAATATATATGTGAGAAAATGCTATTGTCTGATTAGTCATTAGACGATTACAAATCATAACCTCAGTGAGATACCACTTCACATCCACTAGGATGTTTTGAATTAAAAAGTTGTAATAGTAAAATGTTGGAGAAATTACAACCATCGTATACTGCTGATGGAATATAAAATGGTGCAGCCACTTTGGAAAAACAGTTGGGCAGTTCCTCAAGTGACTAAACATAGTGTTACCACATGACCCAGCAATTCCACTCCTAGGTATAGACCCAAGAGAATGAAAACATGTCTACATAAATACTTGACCTCAGATGTTTGTAGAAGCATTATTCATAATAGCTGAAAGGTGGAAACAGCTTAAATGTCCATCAGCTGATGAATTGATAAATAAATTGGAGTATGTATATACAATGGAATATTATTCAGCTATAAAAAGAAATGAAATACTGGTATGTGCTACAGCATGGATAAACCTTGAAAACAATATGCTTAATGAAAGAAACCAGTCACAAAAGATTGCCTATTCTATTCATATGAAATGTCCAGAATAGGGATGATAGCTAAATAATACAGGATTTCTTTTTGAGATGATGAAGTTGTTTTAAAACTCACTGTGGTGATAGTTGCATAAGCTGTGGATGTACTAAAAACTGTTGAATTGCACACATTAAAGTAACCATTTCTGGTATCTTTTTGAGGTGAGTCTGGCCATGTATATGTTTAAAAGGCTAAGCTCCTAGAGTAACAGAGCTTTCTACAGTAAAGTCATCTCTTCTTTCCCCTCTTTTTATTCTTGTAGAAATCATGACCACCCCAGGAAAAGAGAACTTTCGCCTAAAAAGTTACAAGAACAAATCTCTGAATCCTGATGAGATGCGCAGGAGGAGGGAGGAAGAAGGACTGCAGTTACGCAAGCAGAAAAGAGAAGAGCAGGTAAGTCCTTCACTTCTATTCATTTCTTTTAAAGAATTTAAGGTCCCATTTTAAGCCTGAAACTACCATTTTTTGTTTTTAACAATGTTTTGTGTGTATGTGTGTGTATTCCTCCTCCCCCACTATAAAATCAGCCCTTTTGGGGAGTGGGGCAGAAAGGAGTACTGAAAAGTGAAATATAAGAATGGGGAAATCTTTTAGGTTACCATTTTCTCAGTATAACCACTGTTTAATATTTTGGCCTGTGGTTTTTTTGTTTGTTTGTTTGTTAGTGTATTTTATTTTTCTTAAGTTGCAACTTTTTTCCTTACGATTTTTTTTTTACATGTTTGGTAATGAATTCCCAAATGATCAACAAAACATTGCTATTCATTGTAAACTTAAATTTGGAAATTTACAAACATATTCAAAAATAAAGGATAATGAATGTTATAAACCCATCCTTTGGATTCAGTAATTGTCAACAGTTTACCACACTTGTTCATGTTTGTCTTTATTATTTAACATTTTAAAGCCAAATTTCAAAGAATGTGTCTTTTCATCCCTGAATAATTTTGTGTTATTCATAAGGACACTTAGGACATTGATTTTTTTTTTAATCATTTTTAATCTGAGAACATCTATAGGAGCACTTGAGATTTACTCTCACTTTATCTTCCTTTAAAAATGCTAAGGACAAAGTGTTCATCACTTTTGGCAAAGAAATTTGAAGACACAAGGCTTAGGTGGCTTTTTTGTGTGTGTGTTAAGGAGAGACTTTTGAGCCTGAAGGAACATTTGACCATCACATTATAAAAATTTCATAAAGCCAAATGAATGAGTCAAAACCCTTCATAACTGACAAGTAGGTAATTGTAAATATGTTGCAGTTATAGTGAGATATTCTCAACACACACTCTTACTTTGTGAATCACTACATTAGGTAATCCAGTTAGGTGAAATCCAAGAGTACATTACAACCCCAGTATTTTATTTGTTAGGGCTGTAAATGTTTGAGTCACTCTTTATCATCATTATTATTGGCAAGGATAGTTTCTAATATTGCAATAGACTTTAAATTGAGTACAGCAAATTAAATTGTGAGTTCTTGACATTATGCTTTATCATCTTTGAAAGGGACCACTTAATCATAAAACGATGAGTTTCTTGTGGTTTCTTGTCTCTTTATTCATTTCTGTGTCTTACTGGAAATGGATCCTTTTCTTTGGATGAGCTTTTATATTGGCTTCTATTTCTGGAGTAAATTTCCTTTTCTTTTATTCTCAGAAATAACAACAGCATTGTTACATGTTTGTATTCCCTATATAAAAATGAATATCTGTATGTGTGGATATAAATCCATATATAGGTCTGAATATAACTACCAGTCTGGGGATTATATTTGGCATAAAGCCATTTGAAGATGTAGCAGTGGCATTCTGTCATTAACATGGTGTTCATTTTATTCTGTTTCTCCTTGGTGACTGCTGATTTTATATAATAAACTTCATTGTAAAATATTTATAAAAAATAAAATTTTCATATTTAGGTTCCTGCATGAAGCCAAATGCTTTGTATCCTCAGTATTTCAGGTGGCAAGTATAGTCCCATATATATGATATTTGTAGTTGGAAGTTTACCACCTTAATCGCATGAGATCTGAAATTGTGCTAGGGCTTTAATAAGCTTCTGGAACATTACTCTATTTAAACACCTTAATTTTGTCATATGTGTCATCTTGTGTGGGGAGAACTGGTAGAACTAATCAGGCTTCCTAATATCGCAATTGTACTTGTTTTATGCCTAATTTGTAAAATAGTAAACATTAGGAAAATACAGATTCATTTAGGTACTGTTTACCTTTCCACAATTGCTTTGTCATCTATCTGGAAAAGTTACTGGCTTATGCCAGCTGCACAGCTAGATTTGAGAGTAGTATAGGAGTTGTTACTGCCAAGTACATAAAAGGTATCTGCTTCTTAGGGCCATGCTTTTAGTAGACTAGCATTTAATATCTGTTATTTAGGCAGCACTGTAGAAATGACCTCTGTCCAATTGGCGATGACAGACCAAACTAGAGTTTATTTTTGGCAAAACAGTAAACTAGTTGGTGTCATTCTGAATGAGCTAGTACTTGTAATTTTTCATGTATAAGATACATGAAAGATAACACTTTACTGTTAAAATATTTCGAATTAAGTAGACTTTTCCTAACTCAATGTGAGTAGGTAACACAGTGTTGCTAAAAAGTTTGTAAAAAATGATAGTGATGAAGAATGAAAGCCTGCTTGATATTGTTAGTCAAAAGAAATATCTCCTGGAGTGTCCAAATTTATATACTTGTGAATAGCTAACATTTCCTATCAGTTAACGTGGCTGATAAGTCCAGGCAACCTGTAGTCTGTAAATAAGATAGTCTGCAAATCATGAGTTTGTTGGCAATTGTTTTTTCTTTTTAAAAACCTATTTTTAGGCCGGGCGCGGTGGCTCACGCCTGTAATCCTAGCTCTCTGGGAGGCCGAGACGGGCGGATTGCTCAAGGTCAGGAGTTTGAAACCAGCCTGAGCAAGAGCGAGACCTCGTCTCTACTATAAATAGAAAGAAATTAATTGGCCAACTAATATATATAGAAAAAAAAAATTAGCTGGGCATGGTGGCGCATGCCTGTAGTCCCAGCTACTCGGGAGGCTGAGGCAGGAGGATCGCTTGAGCCCAGGAGTTTGAGGTTGCTGTGAGCTAGGCTGACGCCACGGCACTCTAGCCTGGACAACAAGTGAGACTCTGTCACAAAAAAAAAAAAAAAAAAAAAAACCTATTTTTATTGAGTAATACATGCACAAAGTGGGAAAAGTTAAATAGTGATAAACTATTTGAAACTAAACCAGCAGTTTTCCTGGTTTTATTCTCAAGTAAACCACTTTTAACTTTCTTCAGCATTCAGTGTGGTTGATACTGCTATATTTCTAAGTAAAATGTGTATTAATTACCATATATTTTTGTTTATCAATTGAAAATATCTATTGATGTTCTGTTCTGGTAAGTGAAGATTTGAGTTCTCATACCACTTTTTTCCTTACATCCATCCTCCTAATATAGTTACATTTCAGTATGTAAGCATTATTCATTGTTGAGCTGAGTAGTATGCTGTGGTTATATTTCTTTCCTTTCTTGTACTTTATTTTTTCTGGAGTTAATTGTCTTCACTTTTTACCTGCTTGGCTTTCTTCAAATTTCTGATTATCGTCTCAGCCTCTCCTATAGCTCTTTAAAATTATTATTATTTTTTATCTGATTTTCTATTTGTTAAACTCAGATAATTTATCAGTTCCATTTTTTTCCCCTCTGGAGATCTCCAAGATACTATTTTTTGTCCTTCTGCTCCAATTAGTATTGCTTTTCCTGTGAGCTTGCTGTATAGCTGTAGCCTAGGACATCATTTGCTAGGAATTTTTCATCATTTTTTGGTAATGATCCTCCACTCCCTAATCCTATGTTTTCCTGTTTTTAGATTTACTCCCCCCTTTTTCAAAAGCTCGTTCTTTAGTGGCTTTCTGAAAAAGGGCATATGGGAGACACATTTTTTGAAACCTTGCATGAATGAGTGGCTGAGAATGCCGTTATTCTAAATTTGTACTTGATTGATAGTCTGGGATAGAAGTATATACTGGAAATTATTTCTGTCAGAATTTCAGAATTATTCTTTTCCTATATTATAGCTTCCATAGGCTACTGCAGGTTCTTTGTAATCTTATTTAAGCCCCCCGCCCCCTTTTTTTTAAGAGATGAGGTCTAGCTAAGTCACCCACACTGGTTTTGAACTCCTGGCCTCAAGTGATCTTCCCTCCTTAGCCTCCCAAATTACTGGGATTGCAGGTGTGAGCCACCACGCCTGGCTTTTTTTTCTTTTTTGAAGGCTTTTTGGATGTTTACCTCTAGTTCTAAAATTTTATATTGATATATCTTGGTATTTTTAAATTATTTATTCATTGTGATAGGCTAAAGGAGGGCACTTTCAGTCTAGAGACTACATACTTGGGAATTTTCCTGTGTTAATTCATTGAGAAGCTCATTCCCATCTCACATCCTGTAAGTCAAATGTTAGACTTGTGACGCTGGTTTTCTTAATTTTTTCTCTTCTTTGTTTTTTTTCAAACCATATCCTTGTTTTTGGTCTACTTCCTTATTGCAGCCATCCGTTATGCCTCTCATTTATTTATTCATATACGTGTGTGTGTGTGTGTGTGTATTCCTGAGCCTTACCAGGGCCCTGCATGATTTGTGTAGGCTTGCTTCTCAACAATGTGTCCCCTCCCTAGGCTCTAAGGCTTGATCTTCTTCCACTCTAACTCATACAGCATTTCTCAATCTGCTTTCCATTGCTGTAGATATGGTTAAGGGGTTACATGTGTCTTCTAATTTCTGTGAACATGAGTGTTTTTGTTTCTTGTCCCTCTTGTCATTGTGGGGTGATATTTCTGAGATTAAGGGGATGGGAACACCTGATTCTACTTTGTAAAATCTGTATACCTCATTATATAAGGTAGATTATTATGATGATTATAATTGGCAGGAAAATTTTATTGACTTTGGGAAGAGAGACTGTAAATATGTATTTTAATTCTTTTGTGAATAAGATCTGGACAATTATGTTATAGGATAATATACCTGATATACTGATAGTTCATTACATTTTATTACTGAGTAGTATTCTATTGTATGGATAAACAATTGGTTTATTCATTCACTTGATGGAAATTTGGGTTATTTCCAGTTTTTGGTGGTGAAAAATAAAATTTTGAACACTAATGGAGAACTCATTGTAAGGAGTTATATATCCTTTTCTCTTGGTTAAATATCTAGAAATGATATGGCTGGATTGTGTAGTTGGTGTATACTTAAGAAGCTGTCAACTATTTGCCAAAATGGGTTGTGTTATGTTACCCTCCCACTGGCAGTATATGAGAGTTTCAGTTGCTACACATCCTTGTCAACATTTGATATGGTCATTCTTTTTCATTTTA